GAGTTAGGTCTCCTCAACTGTCCAAAGTAGTACTGTACTGAGCACCTTGCTCCCTGTGTCAAGTCCTTTGTTGAACACTGGGGATACAACGCTGAGCAAAATCAAATGGGGCTCCTGCCCTCAAGGAGCTTACAGTCTCAGGAGAGAAGGAGTGAGTCAAAGGATCCTACAAAATACAGCACAAGGCAGAGGGTGTATGCTGGGAGAGACAAGATTCAGGGATGTGGAAGGAAGGCCTCCTTATGGAGGCAAGGACTACATTGAGGTCTTTAAAAAAAAAAATGACACTAAATCAAAATGAGGAAGGACACAGGAATAGATGTAACAAACAGAGGGCATATCAGGCCCATAACACTGTGGCAGGAAATACACGATGCATTCAAAGTACCAAGCAAAGGCCAGAATGAAGATCGACTAAAGACCAAGAACTAGCACAGTAAGAAATGGGGCTGGAAAGGCAGGCGGAGCAGAGGCCATAGAGGCCACTAAGGGTGATGTCTGTGTCATGAAAGCATGGAAGCTGTTGGACAGTGACACAATGAGCATGAAGCAATCTTCCAACTGAGGTAAAGAGAAAAGATTGAGGAAGGACGGAGGCAAGAAGCCAGGGGCCATTGCAGGATGACAAGAGATGACTTCGGCCTAAACTTCAGTAGTGGCCGAGGGTGGAGAGAAGTGGAGCAGCCAGGAAGCTGACAGGGCTGACCGTCAGACCTAGGCCCGCTACACCCCGTGTTTCTCTCGTGGTCATCGTGTATTCATCCATTTGGCCAGCTGGGGATACAACCATGAACAAAACAGACCCAGTTATCAGAGAATTTATAGTCTAGACACAGAAGAAGGAAAAACACAAACAGATGTATAGTTACAAGTTGGGGTGAACCTGAAGGAACAGTTGTGTGGTCAGCAATTTTAACAAGGAAAATTACCTATCAGCCACGAAGTTCTCTCAAAACTTCGGTAACATAAAAGGGCCACTTGCCAGTTGCATTTAAGTGAAACACTTTAAGAAACTTTGCAGGTCGCGGCTGGACTTCGAGCCCTGCATCCCTGGCAGTTTTGTAAGCCCTTGGGGAAGAAGCTGGTCTGTCTCAAGTGCTACACAGATCCTGCTGAAGTTAAGTCTTTCTAAAAGCTAACTCTCTCACCGACTCGCCATTCCCAGCCCCAGGGACCCCCCCACTCCACTATGTATGGAGAACATCTTACCACCATTTGGGGTTTCTTTTACACAGTTCCATTCGTTTGAGCCTCACAGCGACCTTATGGAGAACGCAGGCAGGTTTTAATTTTCCATGTGAGAAATGAGGGATTTGAGGCCTGGACAGGTGAAGTGACTCAACCAAGGTCACAGAACCCAGTTCTGCCATCCAGGTCTCACTGGATGCACCTTGGGCCAGGAATCCATGAACCTCAGATGAGACAGCTGCAGGTCACTAAGCCTGGGCAAAGTCAAGTCCTATGAAGTTACTGAGAACAACAAACAGGGACATCAAGCAGTTTGGGAAAGGTTTCTAGAATGCAGTTCCACCAGCCTTAGACATAGGTACCTTTGCCAACTCTCCCAGATTAGAACAGGTTCTCTTGGACTCTTTCCAGGTGCCTCTGACTAACAGAGAAAAGTATTTTTCCATCGCAAACACTGCAGGCAGGCACCAGACTCCTGAAGGGGAGGGCAGAGACTGCATCCCAGATTCCCAAGCAGACAATCCGTTATCAAGATACCATGAACTGCCTGAGCTAAGCACCAACCGTGGCATGACTCACATTTGAAATCACCTCTCTATGGTAAGGGACTGCCCTTGACTGACAGGCTAGTGGCATCCCCAAAATGCCAATATCACCCCCAGTTATGATGACCAAATATGTCTCCAGAAATTGCAAAGATCCTCAGAGGGACAAAACTGCCCGTGCTTGAGGACCACCACAACTGAGACTTTGGAGAAGGGGAAGAGCAGAGTCCACTCTGCCCCACCCCATCTCACTGGACAGCTAGATGATCGCTTATCACTGAGTGTAACTCTTTTTTAAACAGCATCACACAACTAATGCTACCCGAATGCAACTGAGAGCACTGATGGGGTTCACAGGAGCAATTCTCCCCTGGGGCTTATGAAAAAATATAAAGTCAAAGAACCCCCTGTTCCACTAATGAGCTGCTTCCCTGTGAGCAAATCTTGTTCCCATTCATAAAAGCAGACGCATCTGATGGAACAGGAAGCCTGGGTGTTCCTTCTCAAGGATTGGGGCCAGGGCAAAGGCTTCTGGTGCTGCTAAAGGAGTACAAAATTAAGTAGCAGGAGACTCCCACTTACCCAAAATTCAATACAACAACAAGGACACACAAAACATCCCAACCTTTAACCATTCCGGACTTCAGAGAAAGGGGAAAGTGAAAAAGTACATAAACAAGAGATCTGAATTAACAAGTTAATTAAATAGCTGAAACATTACCCAGAAAATCACACTCTCAAGTGGAGGTGGAGACCTGAAGCTGAGCTCCTGAGCCACTTGGGTGACTCAGACAGTGTCAGAGACGTGGGCTCCAACCTCCTACCCCGAGCTGGGCTGTTGGCCCAGATGTGGAAATCAGTATCAGTTACAAAGCCTCAAAGCCAGAATCAAAGATTATGTCTCTCATTAGTCAGCTACCTTACTAGCTAAAGGGTTTAACTGACAAGTTCAGCCAAACTCACTATCAGATCAAATTCACTAGTGAAAGTATTTTACTGTTCTGCAGTCTTCTACGAAGACTGATGAACCATAAAACGCCTACCTGTTAGCACCCAATTACTCACACTATTGCTAGTTTCTAGGACACTTCTGCAATCTGTACTTAGCTCTATTGTTGTATGTGCTATTCTGGAATGCCCTGAAATTTGGTAATAGGTCTGCGTCTCCCCTAATAGACGGTGAGATTCTTGATGGCAGAATTTAGATCTAGCACAAGGCCTGGTATGTAGAAAGTGCTCACTATTTTTCTGATGGATGGAAGGATAGTAAAGTCTTCCATCTCCATCTTCTTAGACTTAAGTCTATCTGTACATTCTAGTGGGAGGACTGGGACCTCGTCACCTTTTTTTCTGTTTCTCCAAGGCTTAATGCTTCTCAATAGGTTCCCAATTAACAATAACTGATTTTGTTGTGCTCTTGAATCCAGAGAGACCAACTGAAGCTTGCTGTTCGTGAACCAGTGAATCCAAGGAAAGAGGTCGAAAATCCTAGCTGTCTGTCCTGTCTTATCTGCATTTGAATAGGTCTGGGAACTAGAAACAGGTTGATGTAGGGCATGAATACATTCTCTGCCAGGCAATGGAAAGACAGGCATGAGCAAGACTCATATGGTGCCAGCCTCACAGAGTTCACTGTCCAGAGAAAAAGAGAGATGTGAACAGTTATTCAAAATAAGCAGCTACTATGCTCAGGAAGTCTCTTGGAAAAAGTTTCTGTAGATGGTCCCAATCTCTCAGCCGTCTGAACCTCTTTGAGGAAAGCTGTGATTTCCCAATAAAGTCGTAAATATAGGAAGTTTATTAAGTACCTCTATTACACAGGCCGTCTCTAATCTGTTTTTTTTTAATAATATAATAGTTTATTTTTACATCATTTTGTGCCTTTTTCCATCTCAGTTCCATCTCCCCGTGGTAAGTTTTTTTAAGAGACCAATTAAATGCTTCATAAATATGAACACGTATAAGTCCATGTTTGTGTCTTCAAATATGTAACACATGTAACTTACCACACATAGCTGAAGCGGTCCTGAAAAACTAAAAAAGCCAGAAGGTTCTAGAAGAATCACTAGGTAACTGGGAGTCTAGAGACCTCTGTACATCTAATAAGCAGAGCAAGAACAGGGAAGGGGACTCGCAAAGGCTCATGAAGTCCAGGAGGTCTTGACATGGTAATAGAGCTTAAAAAATGCAAATTGCATGTGTTTCAATACACACATCTTGGTAATAAAAGTCAATCAAAATCCAAACTTTTGTCCAGGGAAACAGGTTAAGTCAGTAGGAGTCCCAGCAGGGTAGGGATAAAGAGAGACCAGGGAAAAACATTCCCCAACTACCCCGCCCCTCCCCACACCAGCAAAGTCAGGGTACTAAAGCCTACAGAGGAGGACTGCTCAAGGAGAAAGATGAGAAATGAAAGAGGGCTCAAGAAGAGAAAAAGGCCAAAAGCCGGAGGGTATAGACTGACAAGGGCCCATCTGGAGGACTGTACAGCATGGTATGTCTTAATTGATGTACATAGTTTTTTAGGGTCAATCAAATGAAAGTCAATGTATCATTCCAGCTATCATTCAAAATAATGTTCAATATTAAAATATATATTTTTAGGCCCTCCCTGGTGGCACAGCGGGTTAAAGCACAGCACTAAAAAGCTTAAGCCACTTCCACATGAGTTTGATTCCCGCCTGCCCCGGAGGTGACCACATGGCGCGGCAGACCTCTCCTGACCCACCCGCTGCTCCCCTCAGCAGTGTACTTCTTCAATCTGCCTGTTCTGCTCCCCACTCTGCTCTTGGTGAAGCCTTTCACCCTCCACATCTCTGGCCTGTACCCCAGTTCTATATGAATAAATAAATAAATCTTAAAATATATATATATATATACATTTAACGTAATAGTTTCTGATGCTTTTTGTTAGACACTGGTGAAACGCTAACAGTCGCTTCTTCCATTGTGAGGATGCTAAGACTCCCCAACAACCCAGACAAATTTCTGAGTGATGATTGCTGCACCGATTCCTTCTCAAAATATCACAGACTCTTGGAGTTAAAAAGGAGCTAACCTAATGAAGCTTTGACTGTTGGGGGGATACAAACCCGGGGTCCATAGAGGAAAAGTCTCATATCCGGCTGATTGCACAACTAGACTCCAGGTTCTCCCCTTCCTAGGCCTTGAAGCTTTTCATCACTGAAAATCAAATCCCTTAAAAAAAAATTCTAAGCATTTGTAACTGTTTAGACAGCTGCTCTTACCATCTACCAGTTCTCTCACCTGTCTGAGCAACCAGGTGTGTCCACCCACTCCAGACGCCAGTGACCTTTTCATTCTGAAAAAACTGTGCTTCTATTTTCTGGGGCATAGGAAGGAAAGCAGCCTGGGAGGCCAGTTGCCCATGCTTGTTGCTTCCCCAAACATACAGCTCTCCTGAATCTTAAACAAACAAAAAGAAACAAAAGGAGTAGAAGAACATTAGTCCAAATGATGAGGAGGGGGGGTACGGTGATGAGAAGTGGTTAAAAGTGGTTGTATTCTTTTGCAAAATAGGATACAAAATTCATTAGAGTATGACTATATGTGAGGTTTTTTAAATTCTCTAAATGCCTTATTCTGTCAAAGAATAGGAATAGATGAGTTTATTTTTTCATTAACTCATTCAACAAAGATTTACCTATCATGTATCATGTGCAAAACATGTTCATTTTCTACATTTGAAAAATATATGTGCTCCCATGACATTCTGTTAGGACCAAACTATTCACTTTTAAAAGTAACAGTTAAAAATTATATTATTTAAATTTAAACTTTTAAACACAAGATGACTTCACATGCCCTGTTCAGTAGCAAATACCACCCAGCACATCACATCTGTGTAGCACTTCAGCTCATTAAAACCTCACAATGATCCGGTGATCTAAGCAGGAATGTGACTGACATTGTGATTTCATAGAAAAAAAGAGCTAATTCAGAGTCAAGTGACTCTGGTTTCTATTCCTGGATCTGCTAACTAGCTATTGACCTTGGACAAACTACTTCCTGTCTACGCCTTAGTTTCACCAGTTAAAAACAGAAGGGGAGGACAGTTGGTCCACAAGGGCAGGTAATAGACTGATGTAACAAGAAAATTGGGTGGGCGAGGAGGGACCCAGAGAGCACATGCTTACTTAAAAGGCATTTAAGTTCAAGAGACATTTTTAACTGAAGCCAAATGAAATGGAGTCATGCCTACAATTTGGCTTGAGTTGTCGTTCTGTGACCCTGTGGGTGATTTCATGAGCTCCTCTGACCCTAAGATTATAGACAGTGCTATTCAACACATGACATGTCCATGTGGTTATATGACCCTGGAAATGTGGCCAGTTCAAAGTGAGATGTGTTGCAAGACCAAGACATACACAATAGATCACAATGTCTTCTTGCAAAAAAAGTGTAGCTCATTAATTTTAATACTTATTACATACTGAAATATTTTAGATACACTGGGTTAAATATTAAAATTAATATCCCCTGTTTTACTTTTTGAAATATGGCTCACATTCTAGAAGATAAATTAATCAAGGCTCAGAGATGTTAGAAGACTTTCAAGATCAATGGATAATAAAAGCCACGCAGGAACTAGAAGGGAGATCTGCCTCTGTGGCAATTGGTGGCCTCCTGTTAACGCTTTACAGCACTGCTCCTCCTAGGACACTCTGGCATATTCTCCAAAACTGATCGCAAGCCTAACGGTATCATTGAAGGACATGAGACATCCAAAGTTCAAGTTCCAGATCTGCTACATAATCACTGTTCAAAGTTAGGCATCACTTCACATTCTGCCCCTTTGCTTCCTCAATTTTAAAACAAAGGAGTATAAATCAGTGGAGTCTTCGGCACACAGGTCATCTTCAGCACTGACATTTTGTAGTTCTATAAAGCAAATGAGGTTTATTTCACTCCTGGACAGAGAGCGACCTCCCTGTACTTCACCAGGTAGGCAAAGCATTCAGATTCCTTTAAGGTGGCAGAGGAGCCCACGAGCAAAGTCTCACCCAGAAACACACTGATACCCCATGAAGCGCTTGAGTCGATAGAAAGCCTTCATTTATCATCTTTTTGCAGACAAACAGGCTTCCACGTGTGGATCATTACACTGTTGCGTCAGCAAGTAAAATTAAATTCTGCTGCAATGCCAAGTAGTTACATAACCTAGAGGAAAGGTCTAGAGAGTACTGAACAATTTCTGTGGGTTTGAACTCAACCAGGAAAGGATAATATTAATCAAGACAATATTTTAATTCACTATTAAAAATCAACTCACTTTGTGAATGTATTAAAAATCATTAAATTGTATGCTTTAAAAGGGTGATTTTCATGTATGCACTCCACCTCAAAAGATTTAACATCTGTTTTTAAAACATTACAATAAAGGTGCCCCACATTTGAAATACACAACTTCACTGATTACAAAATTTTAAGAAATTGGGCTTACCAAGCAATTAGAGAATCTCTAGAGTTACCAAAATGCCAGCCATTTCAAATTAATTAGAACAGAGTAGAAATATCTCTTACTCTACTCTTATTCTCCTGACCCGCACCTAATGTGGAACACCCACTAGTCACTTCTCACCCTGGGGCCTCCAGTTTTTCCCCCATAGAAGCAGATGTGGAACCAGATGCCTAGGGAGTCCCCTCCACTGGCATCCATTTCAATTCAACACTTCTGTCAGAAATATACATTTACTTCATAGACTAAAAATAGGCTACTTCTTTTATTTGCTGGTTAGCTGAAATTCATTAAATAACACAACATCTGTAGAATTTATAAAATACTTAAATTCTCACATTAAGGTTCTTGTACTTTGGAAACAGTAACAAACTTTCACTTGGACCACTGCAAATTTGATGTGAAGAATGCATGCCTCTGTTATTTTACAGATATTATGTACACACCTTAATCCACATAAAACACTAAAAATACTAAGTGTGAAGCTAATTTCCCTTTGGTTAAAAAATATAAAGCATTCAACTCAGTGTGAGAGGTCTTACCAAAATAAACCTCTCAGAGCTATTGTCCCAGACTACCAGCAGGGGTCAGGATGATCTGGGCTTTGAAAGAGAGAACCTTTGGAAAAGAGAACCTTCATTTTCAAGAAGACGCTGCATTGTCACTCAAAAGTTTATACTGTATTGACTGGGTGTGTTAAATGTACAGATGGTTACAAAGCCAAAAAGGGAGATATAGTATGAGAGAGAAAAACAGATTAAGAGGATCGTAAATCAAAGAGATAGAATATAGAAGCAGGGCAGAAAAACATAAAAATACTAGAGAAATATATACATCATTAGATGTAGGGATATAGAATAGAATGATGAAAAATTAATAAAAATAAGAGTTCTGTAGTTAATAAAGCAGATAAGTACAGAGAGAACAGAAAATGGATTAGATCTTTCTAATAGGTAAACAACATAGTTTGAGATTACAGAACTAGAGAAAATAGTTATATTAGACACCAAAATGGATTAAGTGGCTAACAATATGGTATATATAAATTTGCTATCGTTACAAGATTTTCCAATGACAAATACTCTGAGAGGAAGGTAGTGTTATCTCTACTGTACCATGAAGAAAACAGATTCAGAGGAAAGGAAATGAGCCTAAGTTGCATGTGAGTGCTTTATGTGTATTTTCAGATTTAATTCTCAAATCTGCCCACAAAGTATTCTACAGACAAAGAAACCATCTTAGAAAGGTAAAATGACTCGCCTCAGTGATTGCATCAGAATTCTGACTCCAAAGTCTAAGCACTTTTCTTCCCTTCCCCTTATGAATAAATGCAATGCATGCTAAATGCACGCTCAACTGATAGGGCTGGTACCCACCTGTCAATGAGGCCGAGTGGGTGGAGCCAGCAAGAACACACTTTGCCTTAGAATTCTCTAGACCTACAAAAAAAATTTTGAAATTACATTTACACATAACAAACTGGGCAGAGACAGGACTCAGACAATACCCTCAGGGTCTGGTAGAAATTCTCAGCTAGTGCAGGCAGAGCTGCACTTGCACGGAACACCGGCCAAGAAGATGGCTGGCAGCAGGGGGCATGATTACATACCAGGGGACTGAACTAATATGTAAATCTACTGAGGAGAAAAGAGCTGGATTTCTCACTATCAGACAGGAAAGAAAAAACCCAGATGAAAAGGCTAGAATCAAGCATGTGCTATAGTGCTGGAATTGGAGAAGCCAGTGTAAACTGTGGTTTCTAGAAGAGATAAACAGGTATGGGTGTTCAGCGCATATATACGTGTGTCTGTGGTTTCGTTCCTCCTTCCACTGAGTAGGCCTAGCAGCAAGGGTATCTCACACACTCAGCTGCTATCACATGCAGGTGCTTAACTATCAAACCAGGCTTCCTAGCAATACACAGGCAGAACTAGAATTTGAACCTGCTGTCCGTCTCCAAATATGCCATTTTCCTCCCTTAACTACATTGCCTATGTCAACAATATATAATCCCAAAAACAGCTCTGCTAGAAGTAGTGATGACCTGGTCTAGCATGCAGAGAAATGTAGGTTTATTCTGTAACTCCTGCTTTCTAATACTTCTAATACTCTTAATAAAATGCACTCTATGGGCGTCCCTGGCGGTGCAAGGGGTTAATAAGTCTCAGCACTGCGAAGCTATCAGCAGCAACTTAAGTTTGAACCCCAACCAGGAGATGACCACCATGGCACAGCAGACCTCTCCATTCTCACCTACTGCTCCCCTCAGCAATGTATTTCAGTCGATCTGCCAATTCTGCTTCCTACTCTGGCTCTGGTGAATCCTCTCACCACTGCCCATCCTCCCAGCCCCCAAACACACACACACACACACACACACACACACAACTCTAGCCTACATCCCAGCTCCTGTATGCATAAATAAATCTTAAAAATAAAACGAATGCACTTCACACCTTCAAGTGTCCTGTAGGGTTGTAACAGGCACAAAGCAGATGTTTCCACACATTCAACAGAGGTACACATAGAGGTCTCTAGTAGCCAGGAGAGGAGAGGACAGTCAGGCTTACTACAATGACACAATATGCATGATTAATCTGAAAGGATAACTCAGACTCCAGACTGAGTAGGAACGGACCTTGAGGACTATCAAGTCTATTTTGCCCATCCAGCATCCAGTGACCCATTCTCAAACAGCAAATCCTCACCTCAACCCATAGCCTCCCCTCAGGTGAAGGGGAGCACCTCTGGGACTTGGGGGAAAAAATGAAACCAACACCTTATACTCCAACCTGCCCATTCCCTTTCCCTGCCCCCATCCACCTTCCAACAACTCTCAAAAATTTCTCCCTGTTCTGAGTCAGAAGAAAGCAGATTTCCTGTATAGGTCCACCTGCAGCCAATCCTCGGAAACTTGGGTCTACAAAAAAGAGAATGAGAGAAGACAAGAAGAGGAGGAAATGAAGACACAGTGTTATGAACATAGAGAAAGCTCCACAAGGAGAGTGTAGAGCAGAGGAAGAGAAAGAACAAGGCGAAGAGAGTAATTAAAAAAAGAAAAAGGGAGAAGGAGAGAGAATGCAGGTAGGCAGAGAGCAAAATGGTAGCTCTACAACTATTAAGAGCTAGGTTGGGGTCCCTCCCTGGTGTAAGAGAAAGTACTAGAGGCTAACGACCACCAAAGACTGATCAACAGACCTTAGGCAGAACATTTACCATGTACTCTTCATGTACAGAGATTCCCTAGGGAACACTCCCTAGGGCCAGATTTCCTGGCCCCTTCTCTCTACGTCCTCACTGACTCCTGCTGTCTTCTTGGGAAAGGGAACTGGGATGCAAGAATAGTCCTTCTGGGCTTTGGATGTGCCTGCCTGCAGAGGGAGTGACTCCCTATGGGTCTCAGCCATGCAATAAACTTAAAAGGGTCAACTCTGCAGCTGCGCCGGTGCCTGGTGGGTATCCTCAATCTGAGAGTGAGAATTTATAGGCTTACTATCACCCCCACCTTATTTCCAAACAACTAAGTCCTATCTCATCCAACCTAGCTCTTTTTTTCTTTGAAGATTTATTTATTTATGCATACAAAACTGAGGTGCAAGCCAGAGGTGCAGGGGTGAGGAGAGGCTTCACCAGAGAAAGTGGGGAGCAGAACAGGCAGACTAATGAAGTACACTGCTAAGGGGAGCAGCGGACAAGACAGGAGAGGTTGCGGCACCATGTGGGTCACCTCCAGGCCAGGGATCGAACTTGTGCTGAAGCAGCTGTAGCTAGCTTCCCAGTGCTGCACTTCAACCCCTTGCACCACCAGGGAGGGACCCCAACCTAGCTCTTAATAGTTCTAGAGCTACCATTTTGCTATCTACCTACCTGCATCTATTTCTCAATTGGTTCCAAACTCTGGCAGCAAAGGGGGGTGCTTTTACTAGGCCCGCAAAAACCCCAACAAGATTAACAAATCAATCCACAGAAAGAGTTAAGACAGAAGCAACACCATTTATTCCTTCTCTGCATGCCTGCTGTAAGCATAAATACAGAACTGAGGAGAAAAGCGGGCCTTACCTATCACTCTGCTTGGTTCCTTTGCTGTCAAAAACAGTGGGAGAGGCTGTCCAGGGCACAAGCGCTGTCCAGATGATGCCATACCAGTTCCCCACTGGAATACAGTACCGCTTGCTTCCCAATGGAGCAGAAGATACAAAAAGAGGAAACGCTTAGTCAGACAAGACAAGATTGCTCTTTGAACCTCACTGCTATGGGAGATTCCTAATTCTGTTAATATGCAAATCATGGAGAAGCTTATTGCTTCAAGGGGACATGATTGGACACAGGTGTTACCAGTAAACCAATCACAAGTCAAATCTTCAGGGTAATCTAGAGCAATCAAATAAAATTCCAACACAGTAAAACCACCACCAAAAAGACCAAGGGCGCACATCCAGAGTCCACTTGTAGAATGACCAGCGTACATGATGAATCTGAAAAGATAACTCAGGCTCCAGGTGGAGTAGGTACAAAACACGAAGATTACCAAGTCCATTCCTTGCATTTACTAGATGAGAGAACTGTGGCTCTGAAGAGGGGAATGTGATTTGATCAAGGTCACACAGGCTGCTGGAGGTAGAGAAAACACTAGACAGGACTCAGTTGTCCTAATACCTAATATAGTGGCTTTTCCACTACTTTAAGAGAATTCCAAGATTCCTAATTGCCAAATAAGTATGTAGTTGTAACTATGAGATGCCATATTAATAGCAACTACTTCAATGGAATGGCCCTTTATCCCATGTGCACTCAATCTAACGCATGGACCCATGTTCTGAGCTTCATACAACCAATCTACAGTCAAACATGTCTATAAGACTGATCAGCCAAGAGCTGGTTAAGGCTCTGCTTTCTGGAACTATCCTACAACCAATGGCCCTTTAGGCTATGAGCAAACAAGCCTTCTGTGAAATGAATGGGATGGCCTCTGAGCACAATATGAAACTCAACACAGTGTTGAAATAAAACAAAACTTACCATCTCTTCAATAAATATATTGCAGGGTGGGGAGGGAAAGGAGAAAAGGAATTTAAAGATTAAGAGACTTGAGAAATCTAAGAAAGGACGAATATTCAGAATATATAGAAAACTAAAACTCAACACAAAAAAAATAAATAGGGCAAAGACTTGAATAGATATTTATCCAAAAAAATATATACACACCCAGATGTCCAATAAGCACATGAAAATAAGTTCAACATAGGAAAATGTAAATCAAAACCATATTTAGATACCACGTCACACTCACTAGGATTACTATTTTTTAAATAATATAAAATAACAAGCGTTGGTAAGAATATGGAGAAATGTAAAATGATCCAGCCATTGTGGAAACAGTACAGCAGTTCCTCAAAAAATTAAAAACAGAAATGCTATATGACCCAGAGTATCTACTTCTGAGTATCTACCCTAGAAATCTAAAAGCAGGACAGATCTCATAGTTATATTTATGCATCCACACTCATACAGCACTATTCACAATAGCTAAAACATGGAAGCAACCCAAGGATCTATCAATAGATAAAAAAAAATAGGTAAGCAAAATGTGCTATGACATACAGTGGAATAGTATTAAGCCTTGAAAAAGAAGAAATTCTGACATTTGCTATGCATGGATAGTGATCTTTGAGATATTATGCTAAGTGAAACAAAAGGACAAATACTGTACAGTTACACTTATAAAAGGTACTACATGAGTGGTCCAATCTTAGAGACAAAATTTGTATGGTAGTTTACAGGGAATAGCGGGTAGTAGGAAATGGAGATTTACTGTTCAGTGAATACAGTTTCTTTTTTACAAGATGAAGAACATTCTGGAGAGTGATGGTGATTACTGCACAACAATGTAAATTATTTAATACCAGTGAACTATATATTTAACAAGGATTAAGATGGTCAGTTTTATAATGTGTATCTTCTTACAATAAATAAGAAACTGAAAGGCATATAAAGGGCCAGGGAAGAAAATAATAATAATAATGAACAACTATATACCAGAGACATTTTACAGGGTGGAGTGGGGAATGGATCAAAAATGGTGGGGGGTGAGGGGAGAGAAGTGCACTGAATTATGGTGATGGCACATGGTGATATGGTGATGGAAAGCCCATGGGGTTTACAACTGAGATAGAACAATGCACAAAATGATGTAAAAACAAACTATTACATTACTTATTTTAAAAAAAAAAGGTAAGAAAAAAAAAATCAAGTTTGAGGTAATCTTAATTTAATAAATTTCCATTGGCTCCCAAAAGAAACTGAAAGGAAAAAATACTTTAAAAGTGAAATTTGAGATACATATCCACCAACTGAAATGTATAAAACTAATTCAGATCCTGAGTTCAAATTATAAAAATATATTTATTTTTCAGAGAACAGTGACTGCCTATTTGATGAAATTATAAAATTATTATTGATATGTATAAGTATGATGATGGTATTTTGATTTTCAAAAAGAGACCTTATCTTTTAAAGATGCACATGAAATATTTACAGATTAAATGGAGGAGAAAAGGGCTTACAATTAAGCTAATCAAACACATAAGGGAAACTGCTGCATTGTAACTGCACAGAAATGTACATATCAGACAGCCATTGCAGAAAAATGGCAGAAAAGTGTGAAGTAAACCAATGATAGGCAATTTTCAGCCTTGCTATTTCTAAGAGAAGCTGTTTATGAAAGTGTAATCACTACCATACTAACTCAGCAATCACACTCTTGGGCACTTATCCCAGATAAATGAAAGCTTATGTTCACATAAAAAGTTAATGTTTATGGCACGGCAGACCTCTCCTGACCCGCCCGCTGCTCCCCTCAGCAGTGTACTTCATCAGTCGGCCTGTTCTGCTCCCCACTCTGTCTCCGGTGATTCCTCTCACCACCCCTGCACCTCTGGCCTGTACCCCAGTTCTGTATGCATAATAAAATAAATCTTAAAAAAAAAAGTTAATGTTTATAGCTTCATTCTTAATAACCAAAACTGGAACCAACCAGATGCCCTTCAGTTGATGACTGGTTAAATAAACTGTGGTTGGCTATGGAAAACTGTTTGGAGGTTTCTCAAACTGCTAAACATGGAGCTTCCATCTGACCCAGCAACCCCACTTCTAGGTATCTACACAAAAGACACAAAAACACTGATTCAAAAAGACACCTGCACCCCCATGTTTAGTGCTGTTTTATTTACAATTGGAAAGACATGGAAACAACCCAAATGCCCAAAAATGGATGACTGGATTAAAAAGATGTGGTACAAACACAAAATGGAATATTACTCAGCAACCAAAAAAATAAACACATGCCTTTTGCAGTAACATGGATGGAGCTGGAAAAGATCATGCTTAGTGAGATAAGCCAGAAAGAAAAGGAAAAAGACCGGATGGTTTCACTCATGGAAGGAGTATAACAGACCAGGAGAGAAAGTAACAATAATAATGAACAGCTATACACCAGAGACATTTTATGGGGGTTGAGTGGGGAAAAAAAACAGTGGGGGGGAGGCAAATGCATTGGACTATGATGATGGCACATGGGTGATTTTGTGATGGGAAGCCAAAGGGGATTACTACTGAGATGGATAAATGCACAAAATGATGTAAAAATAAACTATTATATTATTTACAAAATATAAAAATAATAAACTGTGGTTGCTATGACATGAGTTGTATCCCCTGAAAATTTATAAGTTGAAGCCCAAACCTCCATATGACTGTTCTTGGAGATGAAAGGAGGTAATTAATAAAAGTTAAATGGGTTTTAACAGTAAAGCCTCAGTTAATAACTGGCATCCTTATGAAAAGAGGAAACCACACCACAGATCTCTCTCTCCATGCATACAGAGAAAAACAACATGAGTATACAGCAAGAAGGCAGCCATCTATAAGACCCACACCTCACCAAAAATAAACCTTAACCACATTGTTTTGTACCTCTACTCTCCTTAACTGTAGGAAAATTAACTCCAGGTGTTTAAGCCACCCAAGCTATGGCACTTTGTTCCAGCAGCCCTGACAGACCCTTAGTGGCACATCTAACATGGAATACTACCCAGCAATTAAAAAGGAGTACATTATTGATACAACTTGGATGAACCCTGCTGAGCAAAAAACTCAAGTCCAAAAGGTTATGTACTGGGGAAGAGAGTACCAACAATGTCTCTTATTTTATTTCTTATAACTGCATGTGAATATACAATTATCTCAAAACTAAAAGTTTAATTTCCTTTACATGATAATCAATATGATGCACCAGGCAGCTATTAGCACAGTGCTGCAGACTCTTCTTCCCCTCACGCCTCCCCCAACTCTACCACAACCAGATTCGCCAAGCACTTGTGCCCCCACTGTTAAGGGTTGTCCTTGAGCCCACAGGAGCAAGAAAATGAAAAGGGAGAAAGATAAGGGTCACTGCTCTTCCACAGGCCACCATCTCCTCCTCCTCTTGTGCCTCAAGCTCGCACACACTGTCAGCTCTCTATTCATCACCATCTCACAGCACAGGAGACAGGCTCATTGAATTTTTTAATTAATAAGCATAAAAATCTACTAGCAATGCAGTTCACAGCAAAGACTGCGGGGCTTGGAATCCAGATCACCCCAGATTCTGAGCCCAGCTCTATCTTTCCTGACTTTATCCCTGTAATACCTAAGACAAGCCCTTGAGCCTCTCTGGACTTCAAGTTCCTCACCTGTGAAAATTTAACTCAAATCACTGCAAGACCGTGAGGATTAAATGAGACATTCATTAAATCAAAAGGGCCTAGTGTCATGCCTACAATATAATAGAGAGCCAAACAACATCACTTCCTTCCTCCCTACCTGCTACTTTCAATCAGAACTGTAGCACATAGAACATTCTGAATTACTTCTAATTTTTTTTTCTTCTCATTTGTTTCTTAAGAAGCTCAGTTTCTCCTTATTAGATGCCTATTTAGAAAACAAGAGCAAAATGATCACCTGTAGCAGCTAAAGCATGCCTCAGTCCAGCAGCAATACTAACAACTTTCTCTCTCAGGAACTGTTGAAACAAAGAAAAGATGGAGAAGTCAGAATTATCCACATACCAAATTGCCCAAATACAGGGCAGTGTGGCCCTCGGCACATGTCTTCCCAACACTTCCATCCATATACCGCTAGCTGTATCCCTAAAACACAAAAACCTTTTTAAAATACTATACCACAATGCCACTTGGGGCTGAGAGAGACCAAGGGCTCTCCAAGGTCACGTAGTCCAGGGGGTGGCAAATGTTCTCTGCAAAGGGCAAATATAAATATTTTAAGACTTTGCAGACCACACATTTTCTGTATACTACTCTGCCATGGTAACATAAAAGCAGTGAAAGACGGCCCTCCCTGGTGGCGCAGCGGGTTAAAGCACAGCACTAAGAAGCTAAAGCCACTTCTGCATGAGTTCGATTCCCGCCTACCCCGG